CCGCCATCTTTCCGGGCGGACTCGGGGCGGGGCGGGCGGGGCGGGGCCTCCCGCGGTCCTCGGCGGTCCGCGACACCTGCGCAGCCCCGCACCGGCCGCCCGTGGGGATCGGTGGATCCCGGGGTTCCCGGGGTTGCAGGCCGCAGCTGCCAGTGACCTACGACCCCGGTGGGAAAGGGGGCGCCCATGCGCGCGGCAGGCGAAGTTGGAGCGAACGCAACTGAAGTGGAGGTCTGGGGGTCCGGCCCGGAGCCTTTGGGGCGTGCGGGCCTGCACCCTGCGGTGGAGCACGCGCGCACGCAGGAGGCCGAGGCAGGCTGGCCGCGGGGCCCAGCGCGCAGGGCAGGGAGCGCGAGCTGGGGACCCCGAACTCGGGAGACTGGGAGGGTGGTGGGAGCGGATCCGATCCCAGCCCGCTCTCACCTGCGTGGCTTGCAGAAACAAGCAGAAGGGCAAAGGGCAAAGGAAAGAGGAGGAGGAGCATATTTAAAAGCATATTTAACACCAAAGCAGAATCCGCTAGGAGAAAACGGCCCAAAGAAAACTAAGCGTAAACATAAGGAGCTTTACAGCCGTGAGCTCCTGCTGACCACAGGCTCCCCGTGCTTCCAGGAGCTCTGCTGCTGACTTCTCACCCTCGGGCAGTGGCTCATTCCCTCTTCTCGTGGACGCATGAACACACGGAGGGGGTCGGATGCGCCCCAAGGTCCAGCGATCCTTAGGATGCGGTGATCCCTCATCTCTGTCCACTTGGAGACCAAGGCTGCCGATGCTCTGCAGCTGTGCTTCGTGAGCACGGGCCCACTGGTGTGCCCCAGATGGAGTACACGTGTGTGTGCAGCGTGTCATCACGAGTCAGAGGGGGACGCATGGATACATGGTGGCGATTAGCACAAGGACACATTCGTCCTGCCCTGAAAAGGAGGCAAGTACTGCCACAAGCTGTGTGCAGGACCGAACCAGTCACACACCTACGACAGGCACAGCAGTAAATCCACACGGTACCCCCAAGATCAAGGCTGCTGAGGGCTGCGGAGCCAGGCAGTGGGATCAGACATCCTTCTGCAGAGACGAAAGTGTTTTGGAACTAAACAGAAGTAGTAGTTGCCAAATACTGTAAATGCACCCAAAAGTAGCCTCTGAATTGCTCGCTTTCAGCTGGCTAATTTTGTTGCAGGAATTTTGCACATGAAAATTGTGGACTTCGCAGTTCACAGTTGTGCTTCTTATTAGCACACGTTGCGGCGCATAACGAATGCATGCGTTTCGGGAGTCGCCTGCCATGCACGGCACATCGCAATTCTTCCCTCCCCCACCCCTCGGTCCCTGCACCATCTGCAGAAGACCTATCTCTGGTTTCCTACTATCTGGCTCTTACTTATTTGTATTTTGAGTTTCTCCTATAAGAGAAATTGTGTGAAGTCTGTGCATGTGTGATTTATCGCGAGCAGCCTCCTGGTCTCGCGCAGCATCGGCTTTCTCACAAATGGCTCACGTCCACTGTCTTTATGGCAGCGCCCCACTCGATGGTGTGCACACCAAGCACTTTCTTTATGCGTGGGTGGGCACACAGGCCGCCTCCAGGCAGAGCTCTTGTGAGCTGTGCTGCTATAAAGATGGGTATGCGTAGGGACGACGAGATAGTGCAGCAGACTAAGCGCCTGCTTAGGCAAGTGCAGGGCCCGGGGTTCGATCCCTGGCACCACATGCCGCGTCGGCCCCACCCCGGGTGCACTGAGCAGGTGACCAAGTCCAGGCATGGTGGTGCTCACCTGTAAAGGTATGCCCAGAAGGGGAATAGCCGAGGGCATTGGAGAGTCTAGTTTTACTTTTTGAGGAGTCTCCGTGCTGATTCCCAACTTGGCCACACTCATTTACATCCCACCCACCCGCAGAAGGCTGCCCTGCTCCTGCAGCCTCCCCAGCACTTGTTCGCATTTGATCTCTTGTTGGTAGTCATTCTTTCTGGACTAAGAAACTCGGTGTGGTTTTGACTTGCATTTCTCTAATGGCCAGTGATGTCGAATATTTAAAAACATTTTTTTTTTTTTTACTATTTGTGTCTCTTGCTTTTTACAATAGATCTTCTCAGGACTTTCAATGCCAAAATACCTGCACACCATTATCTGTGGCTACGCACTGTCTACTGGGAGAATGACCATAACTTGCTGGCCTAGTCACTGGGTGAAGGCAGGCCTGTCGGTTGCAAACAGCACTGGGTGTAATGTTTCCACGGAGGGAGAACTGGAAGCGGCGTGTTTCTCAGGCAGCAAGCGTACTGAAGGATTTCGCGTTAGCGTTTCTGAGGTGCTGCCCCAGGCCCCTCTCAGAAGCCTTCAAAGGGGTGCATGTGTCTGTGGTACGCTGCTGTGCCCAGAAGGTCCATGTTTGTTTTAGAATTTTATTCCTTTGACTAAAATCATTATGTGTTTAAGCACTAACAAAATCCTGTTTCTTAGAGCTGAGACTTTGAAAAGTGCATTCCTTCAAGAGGACAAGAGGCAAGGATAGCCGTGGCGTGTGCCGGAGCCCGAGTCGTTCATTAAGGTCCGAGCGTGTACTTACCCAAATGAATACTGTCCGCCTGACGGCCGCTCATTACATGTCTGCTGTGCACTAGACTGCCCAGGCAAGGACACTGGGACACCGAGCTGGCACGGGCAGGTCCCTCTGCAGTAGGGGCTGCATCTCCCTGAGAGGCAAGCGTGCAATGATTCTCATTCACTGTGGCACCAAGTGTGCAAACAACTCACACGCGGCCCCAGCCATCTCCATCTAGCTTCCAAGATACTGCCTTCGCTTAAGATCTTTTCCAGACTACGTTTTTTCATCTTGACTTCAGATTTAGCAGAAAATGCTCCTGCGCAGCTTCTGTGGTACCAAATGTTCATCTCTTAGCGATGACTTCAGTTTTTTGGAACTAATTAAATGTTACTTGGACCCACGTCTGGTGCATGAATCCGGTGTTGTTTAGGGGTTGAATGATGCAGCCCGGACAGGGACCAGATGAGCGTGTTATCGAGTTATGAAACTAAGTTTATGAAGCGGCTATGTGGCTGCAGTCGACGCTCTGAGGACCAGGCCTGCTGGGATTTGTCCCACTGCAGTGGAGGTCGATCTCACACATACCGGAATGAGGATCGAAAGAGGTCATGTTCCAGCGGCAGATGGCCTGTTCCGATACGCTGTGTCGTGTCCCATTCCACTTGGACTTGCTGGGATGACACCGTTGGCTCTGTGCACACTGAGGACGCCTTACATTTTGATATATGCTGCTCAAGGCTACAAGTCAACACGCTTTTCTTGTTACTGTTGCTTTTTGAAAAAATTTGGAGAAATAGAGGTGGGTGTCTGGTGCATGCCTGTCATCCCTGCATGCAGGAGGTGGAGGCAGGAGGATTGTTGTGAGTTTGAGACCAGCCTGGGCTACAAAATGAGCTCAAGGCCAGCCTGAACTGCATAGTGAGACCCTATCTTAAAAAGACACACGAGAGAGAGAGAGAGAGAGAGAGAGAGAGAGAGAGAGAAATAAAGGACTAGGCTGGCATTAAATTGTTCAAACTGAATTGATCATTTCTGTTACATTAAAAAAAAAAAAAACGAAAGGATGGACGCTGCAGAGCCCCGAGGCTGCGTCCAGCACGTGCCTCTCATGTCGGACTCAAGCACCCTTCTCGAGGGCAGCTTCCCAGGCACACGGGAAGAAGCGTACGCTGTGGGACAGAGCAGACGCGCGGCACCCAGCTGCAGCACTTGCCAGCTCCCGAGGTGACTGCAGGACCCCAGGACACGAGCCCTGGGCTTTGTGAGCCTCAGTATTTTAAAACATGTATGGTCATGCTGTGCATTTTAAAACAATTTTAAATTTTTTTAAGCTGTGCATTTTTAAGGTGTTGACATTGAGAGAAATGTTGGAGAAGCTGAATGTGTTTCAATTTATAATAACCTTTTATAGTCAATCTTCTATGTGGTAACATGATGAAAATAAATGTGTTAACAGGCTTTGGAGACTGCAAGAACAACGGGCTTGGAATTATTTATTCATTTAACCATATCCCTGGGTGCCTACAATGTATCAGATGCAGAACAATGCGCCGCCGTATTTGACTTTTATCCAGAAGAATAGTTTTCCCTGGAGAAAGTAATTGCAATTCAGTCATTGTAAATTTAGTCTGAGATTTGCTTTCTGCAGAGCACTCTTAGGATTCTTAGTAGTGCGGGAGGGTATGTGAGTATGACTGAGAGAAAACCACCCTGAGAGCCTGGGTCTTGAAGGATGAGTAGGAGTTCTCTAGATGAAATATATGGTAAGTACCAAAACGGGCAGAGAAAGAGGTCCAACACATCACTGGGACTGGTTCGGACATGGAGGAATGAATTGATGTTTGTGAAAGCCGCGCTTTCTCAGGAAAGTAGCAGGAAATAAGCGGGAAGGAGGAGCAGCTGTGGTTCCAGTTCTGAGGAGCTGATTCCGATTTAAGCGAGCGCCTTGGTATGGAGGTCTTGGAAGGGCACAGGCTTGGGGGGTGGTCGGGAGGCTTGTGATGGTCGGGGCCCACCAAGGGGAGAGTGAGTGCAGCAGCCATGCTCCAGGCTGCCCGGGAAACTTTTGGAACAGAGTGAGACCCTCGGAGGGTGGGGACGCACAGGTCTGCCCCAGGCTGCCCATTTTTCTTTAATATCATTTTGCAGCAAAGTCTGCGATCAGCTGTGGGCAGAACACAAGAGCCCAGGACACACGCTCGAGGCTGGACAGAGCTGGCCTGTTGTCATCAGTAGGCGCCTAGTGGCTCCAGGTGGGGGCGGCCTTGCTCCCAAGGTCCTGCAGAGATGCTGAGGAGAGAACTGTGGGAGACATGGTGGGCACCCCAACTTTTTCTGTGTGCTCCTTCTGGTGATGGGGAGATTTGAGCAGAAAGCTAACTTGGGAGCTTCACATGGAGAATTTACGTAGATTTAATCCTCATGGCCCTGTTTGGAGAGGGCGTCCTTTGCCCATGTTCTAAGGTGAGGTGGATGGCCCCACAAAGTCAACAGAACTGCCTGAGGCCTCGCTGCTCAATGACATAAAAAGTTCAGGCATGGTGGCACAGCTCTGTAATCCAAGCTACTTGGGAGGCTGAGGCAGGAGGACTGCAAATCTGAGGAGGGCCTCGATGATTTAGCAGAGGCCTGGGGTGTAGCTCAG